AAAAAAAAAAAAAAAAAAAAAAAAAAAAAAAAAGAATAAATTTGAAATAAACCATAACAGAAGTTGATTTATCTACTAATAACAAGAGAAAAGATTTAAAGCAAACCAGAAAGCATCTTGTGATATATGTGTATTATTGCATTCAACCTCCAACTCTCTCCTTTTATTTTCAGATTACTGCAGAAAAGAATCACTAAGATAAAACAGCATTATGTTGAATCTCAGACATGTCACATTCAACTCTAGCAATAAAAACTAGTTTAATGATTTTCATTTTTTAAATTAATTTTTACAAATTAAGTTTAGCTATGCTTAGGCAATTTAACAAGCAGTGCAAATTTTAGCATCACAGGAAAGAAAACCAGTGCGTCCTTAGGGTGCCTGCCACTGGAAAGCCTAGAACACCGACATTAAGATTCATAAGCTGTCTCTGTCTCTGTCTCTCTCTCTCTCTCTCCCTCTCAGATTTTTAAAGGAGGCTGGAGGTATCCTAAATAAAACTATGAATAGTGTTTTAAATTCTAAGGGTCACTTTTAACTTAGTTATGTCCCTAAGAGAGTAAGATTTTATATAAACAGGAGAAAGTATGGCTCCCAAAATGCTTTGATTTGAAAGGATAATAAAATTCACACCTTAACATCTTAAAACTACTTTTCACAAAAAAGAGGAGGAATTTATCTATATTATGTTGTAATTAAAGCAACTCAAAGGATTTGTTCCTACACAGTGGTACCTTGTTTAAACCAATACTAATCAAGCAACTTCATAAAACAGAAATTAACTTTTCCCTTCATGTACCTTTTGTTGAATGGTGGAATGTTTTTGTTCCATCTCCCTTTTCTCCTTTGCTGCATCCACAACTAGTCGATCCAACTATAAAAGGGGGAAAAGATTAAACTGTAGACTTAAAAAACAAAGAAAAAAATGTAAGGTTGTCTTCCCAAACTATATTCTAATATATTACATAGAAAAACAAGCAATGTCATTCAAATGAAGTTTATCTAAATAGGCATTTTGGCTAAACCTTAAAATAGAAGTTTACATTTTTTTCTGGTATTGAGAAGGTCCATAACTCCTCTAGAGAAGAGGTTTCCAAAAACAGTCCTCGTGCCAAGCGTGCACAACAGGAGGCCTCATCTTGGGCACTGCATGATAACATGTTGGGTTCTTGAATAAGGAAATGACTAGCTTATCTCCTGCTGACACACTCAGCAATTTCTGGTTATTACAATCAAAATTATAAAGAAGAGACGCTAGTGATTTCCCAGTGTCCCCAAGGGCAAAATGTAGTGCAGCTGAGCTACTGCGGCCAACTCCCACAACCCCATAAATTCACACTAACAGACACTGCCCATCAGTCAAGATGTGTTAGGTTTACAAGTTGGCTTCCTAATGGTGCATGAAATAACTGACCAAATGAAATCACTTGAAGAAAGAGTAAAAATAAAAAAATAATCCTTTGCCTTGAGATGCCATTATCTCCTGAGTTACTCATACAATATCCCAAGTGACCACCTCCAACTAGGCCCTATTATCCACTAGGCACTACAGGCAGTATGGCTTATTAGGTATTTTTCAAGAGCCTGCAAACTTATTTGACATCTGAAGTATGTAAAACTGAAGTTAGTGTCTAAAAATAAACTTTTATTTCAACATGTCAAATGTAATTTCAATTCATATTTTTTTCAAAATTACACTGAATGTAAGATGAGAGTGCAAGCTAATATTTGGTATATGAGCAGTGCCTACAACCCAGGAAGGTCTTACTTCCTGAAAGTCTGGGTTAGACTCCTGTCTGTATGTTCCCACAATATCCTGTCTCTCTCCTGTATGGTGGGAAAGGCTAGCTGCTCCCAATATCTGTTTTCTTTTTCCAAAACAACAGAATTCTCAAATTCTATATGTCATATTCTGGCTCTAAGGCTGTATTTCCAGATTTCCTCACAGCAAGTGCAACCTTGACCATCACTGGCCACAGGGATGTACACAGAAGTGCCATGCACAATTTCCAGGAAATGTCCTTAAGGAAAGAGAATGTGTGTCCTTTCCCTTTCCTCCTGTCTGTTAGCTAGAATTTGAGAATGATGGCTAGAACTTGATTACCTATTATGATCCATGAGATAGAAGGAATTAAAACACAAAATAAGCTTGGGTCTCCATGAATCAAGTGACCACAATACCACATCTTTGCTTTTACATACAAAAAATAAACTTCTATCCTTTTTAACTACTAGTATTTTCATTTTTCTATCACTCACATACAAATCCAATCCCAAATGATATATACAGAACATTCAGCACAGAGATTAACATCTGGTGACTTGTTGGTTTCTTTCAATAGATTAAGTTCAACAGAAACAGGAAACAGATCTGTATGCTTCACAACATAAGCCCTGAACATCATACATAGCCCACATCATCTCAACACACACATCCTACACATAGACTCTGAAGAGTGAATCTCATTCCCATTCCAACCTTACCTTTCTCTCATTTCCCTAAACCATATTTTCATCATTAATCCCCTCTCCTCAAAAAGAAAACTGGCTGTTTTGTGCCCACGCCAGAATGCTACAAGGTTAGCCAGTAATCCCAGCACTGCAAGCCTGTAATCACAGCACTAGAGAAGCCGAGGCAGGAGGACCAGAGTTTGAGGCCAACTTAGGGCTACACAGTAAGTTCAAGGCCAGCCTGAACTGCAGAGTGAGACGGTTTCAAAAAAAAACAACAACAAAGTAAAAACAATAATCTTGGGAAAGACAACCACCTAAAAACCTTCACCATTAAATCAAGAAAGCTCATCGATGGATAAAAACAACGTCTCAGGGGCTGTGGGTGTAGCTCCCCGGTAGAGTTTGCCTGCCATGCACAAGGTGCAATTCCCAGCATCCCTCCACCAAAAAAAAAAGCTCCCAATCACACTGTATACTTCTGATTAGCTACAAAAAAATTTTCAGCAAAATGAAATAAAATGAAACTTCCTTGTAGTATAAGTTTAGTCCTAAAACATACACAAATACATAGAAAAAAAAGATACCTAAATGTAGTCTATGTGAAATGAAAGTTCCTAAAATTCTAAAATTTCATTATTCAAATAATAAAACAATTTTTGAAAATAAAGATGTATAAATCAAATGAAATGTAAACTAGGACAGTAAATCAATTATTGAAGTATAAAATATTTTTAAAATCTAGTTATATATATACAATGAAAATAGACAGTATATTTTTACATTCTCCTTTTTAGTACCACTCATACACAATCTGTAACATAAGGTTATTTTTACCTTTAATTTCATTTCTGATTATACATTAACCCACATGTAAATATGCTCCAGCACCCAACTTCTTTATGAAGTAAATGAAATGTGAAACCCCCAGTATGCTATATTTCTTTAAAAATATAAATATCAATGTATAGCATAGAATCAAGTTATATAGCTCAACATTACCTGTGCTCCAAGGTCTTTCATGTAGGGCCCAAGTTCACTAAACAGATCATATCCTTGATGAAAGAAGGCCAAATGGGCATACATAAAGGATAACATCTAGTAGGGAAAATCAAGATTGCCATTTTAAAATCTAACCCTAGACAAATATTAGGAAATATTTTTAAAAGCCCTCATCCTATTTAATGCTTAAATATTATTTCATAAGAGCCCATAATGTCAAACCTATTTAAAATTAAACTATGTCACTTTTCTTAGAAGCATTTCATAAATATTTGCAAATACAATGAGAATTTTATTTTAAAAGAAATTTCCCAATGGTGGTGAATTTTAACATGCCCCAAATTTGTAAGCTGTTTAGACTGTATGTAATTTTGTAAACAAAATTAATATAGCTATTTAAATAATGAAATTTTCAGGTTTCACTATCTTCCCAGGCACATTATTAACTATGTGTTCCTTTGAACTAAGCTCACTGGTAAACCTTAAGCAAATAAGACATAAAAAATAAAAGAAAAAACATATAGCTCTCAAAATAAAATAATCACAAATACATTACCTAAACTAACAAAATGCTCCTGTTGTTTCTCAAGATAACAAAATGAAATGAATCAACAGACTTTGCCAATTTAGAGATTTCTTTATATTCATTCCGCAAATCCAAAAATAACATCAAGGAATGTTTTTTCAAGGGTTTTCTGTATTTTACTTATTCATAAGAGAAAAGTCACCCTTACTTTATTAGTTAAGTTTTTACATGGGAAGGAATTATATAAATGTATAGTGCTGCAAGAATCATCTGACTTCAATGTTTTTAGTAATCTTACTATTTGTTTCATTCTCTGAACTCTAAAATTGGTCATAAGGTCCTTAATATTCAAGAACTCACCAAAGAAAATTTTGCTTCCAAAAGAAAAAAAAAACACTAAATAAAACCCAAGGATGAAAGGATAAAACTCATAAAAGGAAACTTTGATAATGGTTTGTGTGTATAATTTTTTTAAAAACACACTGCTTTTTTTTAATGGGGGGAGGAATAGGGCTACACTAAATGTAAAATATGCCTAAATATCAAAACATATTAGAGGCATATTAAAAAACAAATGATAAACTAGGAAAAAAATGGATGACAAAGAGTTAATATGTAAGTGATATAACAAATCAGTATGAAAAAATAAACACTCCAACAGAGTAAGAAACAAAAGGATAAGTATAGGATACTGATGTGACCTAAAAGAGGGCTGAAACTAACTTGTATTAATGAAATACAAAGCTAAATAATGAGATCACAATGTCTACCTGCCAATGGGGGAGGAGGGAAGCTGTAATACTCATTGTTGATAAAATATGAAGTATTTATTTACACACACTGTTAGTGGAAATATGGTATAAACCTTAAATTTCACAATATTTTAAAAAACCTTATTCACTATTTAAACCCTCTAAGTGATCCCTTGTCTTTAAATATATCCTAAGACAGACCGGGGATTTAGCTCAGCGGCACCACACCTGCCTCACAAGTACAAGGTCCTGAGTTCGATCCCCAATACCCACCCCAAAAAAATCTATCCTAAGACAATAATAATCATCTTATTCATTAAGATTATTACTACAATGCTAAGTTTTAATGTCGAAAACATGGAAATTACCTCAACATCCATTAATTGATAAAGATAATTTATGGTATATTCAAGGTCAGCAAATTATGACTTGCAAACTGTATCCAGCCCTACCACCTGTTTTTGGATGGCCTATGAGGTTAAAAATGGTTCTTATATTTCTAAATGATTAAAAGAAAATGAAAAGGACACATAAAATTCATGACAAGTGAACACTATATGAAATTGGAATTTCTATGATCATAAATGAAGTTTTACTAGAACACAGCCATGACCATTCATTTGCGTATTAGCTATGTCTGCTTTCTCATTAAAAGGGGACAGTTGAGTGAGTGCAACAGAGACCACATGGCCTGCAAAACCTACTATAATTATAAAATGTCTGCCCATTCCTACTACATTCACATGGTAGAATTCTACCTTGCCACAAAAGCCATCATTAAATATTATTGTCAACACATTACTGTTAATCTGGAAAACAAGCAGGGGATAAACATCATCTTTAAAAAACAGCAAATAAAATGTACTTTCCTGGTACAATACAACATAAATATAAACATAAAATTTACAAAAAAGCTAGGTGAGAACAATGATCTCAAGTAATTTAAATACATCCTTGCTAGGCATTTTGGTGCATGCCTGTAATCCCAGCACTAGAGAGGCTGAGGCAGGAGGATCTGTGAATTCAAAGCCTACACAGTGAGTTCAAGGCCAGCCTAAAATACATATGGAGATCCTGTCTCAAAAAAAATAAATAAATAAAAAATACAAAAACCAGCCTTTGGAGGGAAAAATAACTTCGGCAAATAAATTCAGAGGAAAAATTATTTTGAAGGCTCTCAGAAAGACCGCAAAACCACATTTCCCTGTTCACTTTCTTGTTACCTTTAAAATCCAAAGAACAAAAATCAAAACAAAAACAGGACAAATAAAAAATATATATCATTGTCACCATGGATAAAAGGCTCGGGAAAAATAACAGTGATCCTGAAATTTCACCCACTGGTTTTGGAACTGAATACCAGGGACCAAACCAAAATGCTGAAACATTATCAACCTTAAGGGTAAATTCTTCAAATGATCTACTCCTGTAAGTCCTCAATCTCGAGTTCAGTATTTTAAAAATTGAGAGGAAAGAGGTTGCACAGAAAATTTATAAAAGTGCAAATGAAAGTTCAAAATGTAAATGTAATAGGATTATATTTTTATAAATTTCAAAACAAATTCAGAAATATTCTCAGTTTTCACAACGGACACTTCCAGTTATTCACCAAACAGTACTGGGCATCTAGTATACAGCATCATCTTAGGATAAAATGAAAACAGAACAGCATCAAGTCTGGATTTATAGAGCCAGAAGTATGGATATTAATAGATAAGATACACATAAATAATTGTAACATAAAGGAGACATAATATAAGAAACTACTTTGATATGAGAAGTACAAATAAAGATAAAAAGGAAGTAATATCAATTATGAAGCCTGGAATATATATTTAGTAGATGTTCCTATAAATACTTAAATATGTATAGCTTCATATTAAAATATTTAAAACTTCATTTCAATAAATATCTTACTGATTTTAGGATTTCTGATCTCCTTTTTGATTGAAGAACATTAATCTGAGGGAAAATACACTTGATTAATCACCTATGCATCATTTTTAAAACTAATCCATAATATTGTAACATTTGCACATTCTAATAGTTCAATTCTTTTCTAAAAATGAAATAAAAACAAAACTCAAATTTTTCATCTTTTGACCCTCCTTTTGCAGTTAAAATAAACATACCAACAAACTGAACCATTTTTGAGCTCAGTAAAAAATTAGTCACTTAAGTTACAATATTGTAGTGATAATACTATTTTGACTTTTGAACTTCTGAGAATTCTGCCTTTTCTCCACCCTCCTTATTCTACTTGCACATCAAGGTTCAATGTATAGCCTCAGTGCAAATCCAAGTTCTCCTCACATCTCCCCTGGACTTTGCAGTAGTCTATGAACTACTCTCTCACATCCATTCCTACAGCCTGTGGTCCATTCTTACACAAGTACCATTACCTCTGACTTAAAACCTCCTTACTTCCTACCATGTTGAATAAGGCCTGTTACGATGAGGTACCTGCCTACCCCTCCAACCTAGTTTTCTATTACTTTCCTCCTTTCTGTACTGCAACCACTGCCAAGACTGTCCCCATCTCAAAGCCTTTGTTCTTGCTCTTCCATCTACATGGAAGGATGGCTGCCTTCATGAGTATGAGACTGTCTCCTACCAATCAGGTCTAATGCCATTTCCTTACAAAAGTCTAATGCAGTTCCTTACGTTGATTAGTACATAAAACTCTCTTTATTCAACCTTGTATTTTCTTATGGTCTTTTCCCAAGCTAAAGTATAAGTTCCACAAGATCAGTCTTTTTATTCTCAGCTTTAGTCCCCAAGCAGCACACAAACACTCAAAAAATATTTGTTAGAGCAATAGATCTTAAATATTTTAATTAGACTAAACTTAATGAAAGATCAGTAAATTAAGAGAACTGTTTTTTGGGATCCTCTGCCAACTCTAGAAATTCATGATAAACATTTTGTCTGTTTTTAAATGTCAGTTTAATTAAATAAAATGCTTATCTAAATCATTCACTTTTGTTAATATTTTCAGAAGATCACAGAGTATGTTTTGATATGTCCTTCCCACTGAATTTCCCACCTATTTTTTAAGATAATTTAAACCACTGACTAGAAAATAAAAAGAGACCAATAGATGGTTAAATAACCTTTCTCCAATAAGCATTCTACATGTGTTTCTCAAGATATTGGTGGGTTAAGAAGCTATCTTAGAACTGCCAGATGAAGACCAAAGAAGTAGGTAATTTATCAGGTGTAAGTTTGAAAATAAGGAGTATTTTAGCTAACCCTTCTCATATACAAAATTCATAACATGTAAGTCATTCACTCTTTGAAAATATACTTACTACATGTATTTTTTCCAACCACAAAACTACAAGCTAGGGACACAATCGAGGAATAGAAAATGCATAAATACATGTTTACAGTAAATGTGGTCAGTGATCTAACTGCAATGCATATGAAAATATTATGGCAACACAGAGAGCAAATCTGACCACAGGTATGAATCAGAGATAGGCCGGAAAAGCAGTACAAAAAAGGCCATGTTTACAAGAATATCCCACTAATATTCTAGTTGAGAAGCAGCAAGACTGGTTTAGGACAGCAGCAAGGGGAGGAAAAAACATATTTATGAGGTATATAAGAGAAATTTCTAAGATGTTTTGGTGGCTATCACCAATTTTGAACTTCTATGAGAATAAGTGGGTGATGTCATATAGTTAGCAAAGGCTAAGAGAGAAAGAAAAGCCATTTTGGAAGATGACAGATCTCAGTTTTAGACACTAAAGGTGGCATTTCCGTGCAAAATGGATTTTGTCATTTATGACATTTAGGTAGCAAGTGAAGCACAGGACATGATGAGACTGTCCGAGAGTAATAAAGAAGAGAATCAAAGATGGAATCCTTAAAAGGAGACTAAAAAGGCAGGCAGACAAAGGAAAAAGTTCAAGGCAGAAACCAGAAAGAAGCAAGAGAACCTAAAGGTGGGTTTCAGATAAATCAAGATAAAAAATATATTTCAAGAAGTAGAGTGTGACCTACCACTTCAGTGAATGAGAATAGTCACATAGGTTAAAAACTAAAATACATGTAATGAATAAGACCTGTGCATAGCCATGTCAGTAAAGGGTGCTGGAAAGGCAGGGGAATTATTTGCCGCAGGAAGGAGCACTGACGGCAGGCAGAAAACAACCATGAAGGGAACAGACTGCAATTTTAACAATTTAACTTCTCACAGGAACTCAGAGAAAACAAAGTTCATTTTAGACTATTTTGCAATTATGCAAAGTCATTTTTTTAATCACTCATCATTTTTTATCACTAATTTGTGTATACTTTTGTTTTTCTTTTTAAGAAATAACCTGTGATCACTATGAAGTAAACCACCGCTGAGGTCACTGCTGTTTGTAACAGGAGATCTGGGCAAGATAATTCCCTAAGCTTTAAACCTTTCAAACTTTCGACTCCATGATGTACAGAGAGACATAGTGTACTTGTGAAATAATATATTATGCTGTTACTTTTCATGTGTCTCAAGTTCCTTTGAAGACCTATCACATTCAAACTGGTCTCCATTATTCACAGGTCAAGAAGATCACTTAGCACCTTACCAAACCCAGATCACTAGCTTTTCTGTTTGTCTGGTTTGGTTTTGGTTTTTTGAGGAGCTGGGGATGGAACCCAAGCCTCACACACGGTAGGCAAGTGCTTGATCACTGAGTTATATCCCTCAAATCCAGATCTTTAGCTTTGAAAATGCACACCTGATGAAAAAAAGGAAAACACTATTCTAGAAATATTTTTCATTGAGTGATACAATAAGTCTCAATATCACCAAGAATCTAAAGAAATAAGTAGAAATGTGGTAAACAATGTATATATAAGGATGTTATTATCACAAACATTTATTTAAAGTCATAGTTTTACTAGTCCAGTAAAAACTGACAACACCCTATAAGTCTGACAAATATCAATTGGGAGCTACATAAAATAAAATATGTACAGTTATTTTTAAAATGCCTTCTAAAAATATTAAAAAATGTGGGAAGCTTTAAGAGAAAAGAGGAAGAAATCTGAACTAAAGGCACACATGGAGCATGTACATACACAAAAACACACACAGATAGGTGACATTTTTCCAGAAAAGATCATGTTTCAATTTTAAACTCAAAGAAATTGGATTATTTACAGTGCAATCACTCAAAAGTAACACCCTACTCAGCAAAGCACTGTTTGAAATCATAATAAAATATCTACCTGAAGTACATAGTCAAGGGCTATGTGTCGAAAACATTTTCTTGTTGCTGTCAGAATGTTTGTGGCTTCTTCAACTTCGTGCTGTTTGTTTCTTTGTACTTGAGCATTTTTTACTAATGCATTTTCTTTCTCTTCACTGACTTTTTCAAATTGCTTCTTGGCATCTTTGAATTTTCTAAGATCTCTAAAAAACAAAAACAGTGAAACTTTCTTGTTTAAAAACTCTGGCAATCATTAACTGGTTGAAATAAGAGAATAACAATAGTTATAACATTGTATGTTATTATCTTCAAAGTAGTTAATGAGTACAAGACATATACCAAAAAGATCTTACTCTTTAACAAAGTTCTGAAGCTGTGCCTTAATTGATCTCTGAGTTTGGTCAAACAGGATCTAAAATATAAAATGTAACATTGAGTGATTAGAAAAGTAAACAAAGATAATCACTTTCTTGTACTTCTATACATACCAAAACCCTTCATCAATACTCCAATTCTCATAACATCTATATTTCTTCTTCTTGAATACTAGCAAAAAAGCATTTTAAAAACAACCTGAAACCAGTTGTAAGCCAATTTCACCTGATTCAAAAATAAACCTGCTAACAAAGGAAAATGAATCTGTTTTAATATTTAAATAGACCACTGAAACTGTGAAGCAACCCATCTCCTTATTTCCAATCCAGGCTTCAGGAGAACCTTAAAAGAGAACACAAATCCCACTCCATGTACTGCCGAGTCTTACTCCATCAGATGGGAGCACCTCAGATGAAAACTACTCAGAATGCCTGATAGGTTAGGTGGAGGTTTGCAACCTGATAAATCTTGGGAGCTTAAATACCGCACATTCTGACTTCCTTTAAGTTAAAGGACAGCTAGGATTAGAGACAAGAATAAAATCTTATTCCTTAGGATGATATTTTGCCCTACTTAAATGATGCCCCATATCAATGGCTCTCTATACAGTCAATTCCATAGGACTTGTCACCAAAATTTCAAGTACTATCATAATTTATAAATTACTTCATTCAGAGTTTAAAACAGAGATGCCTGAGAACAAAAGTGAATATTCAAATAACAACAAAAATCTTGTATCCCTCTAATTAGAAACAGCACCATGCTGGGCATGGTAATGCACACCTATAATTCCAGCTACTCAGGAGGCTGAGGCAGAGGATAGAAAGCTTGAGCCCAGCCTGAGCAACTTAGTGAGACCCTGTCTCAAAATAAACAAAAATACCTGGGGATGTAGCTCAGTGATAGAGCTTTTGCCTAGCATCTATACGGTGCTGGATTCAATTCCAAGGGGAGGAGAGAGGAAGGGAAGGGAGGGAGAATTTGATCACTTTAGTAGAATTGAACAAAAAGAATCTAGATATTAAACATTGCGTAAAGCTAAAGCTACACTAGTAATCCTACTCTTAGTAGGAGTTCATACAAGTACCTGTATACAAATGTTTATAGCAACTTTATTCCTAGTCGCCAAAAATGGAAACAAAACAAATATCCTTGAATCATGGAATGGAGAGGCAAACTCAGACAATGGAATACTCAGTAATAAAAAGGAATAAGTACAAATACATACAACAGAGGTGAATCTAAGTGCATATGCCAGGTAAAATAAGTTGTAGTCAAAGGGCTACAAAAGCTGTACAAGTTGTATGACATTTACGAAAAGGCAAAACCATAAGAACAGAAAACAAGTCAGCAAGTTCCAGTGGCAGGAGGAAAAGTGAACTAATGAAGGCCAAAAAAGGACAAGTGAGAGTGTCCTGAGATTGGGTACAACTGCTGAGCATCTTGATTGAGGAGACTTGAACATATGTATTTGCTGAAACCTAGAGAGTCATGCACCACAAGAAATCAATTCTGTTACATTTAAATGTAAAAATAACTTTAAAAATATTAAGAACAAGAGCATACATAAAGATCAGCACATCTTTTAATGAATGAAGAAAACACAACCAACATGATTACCTTAGTTGACTGAAAGAACAGCTATAGAAATACAAACCCCTTAGCAGGGCATGGTGATACAGGCCTGTAATCCCAGCACTCTATCAGGCTAAGGAAGGAGCATCACAAGTTCAAGCTCAACCTGGACAAATTAGCAAGACTGTGCCTAAAAATTTAAAAATTTTAAATGGCTGAGTATGTAGCTTAGTGTGAAGGTCCTGGGTTCTATTACTAGTGGGTAGGTGAATTCAGTGAGGCGGGGACAAGAAGGACGAGGAAGAAGAGGAAGAGAAGGAAGAGGAAAAAAGGAGAAAAAGGAATGAGGGAGGAAATGGAGGAAGGGAGGGAAGAAAGGAAGGAAATATAAAACCCAGAAAAGGGAACACCTATGCTTCTCACAAATACTACCCCAACATTTATTGCAACTGACCACATTACAAGCATAAAGCAAGGGTATGGCAACACACAGGACACACTCACTGGGCTCGATGACACCAAGTTACACTGCAAAACTTTTGGGAAGGTTGTTTGTTGTTCTATTCCTGCAGTGAGGTGCTGCTGCTGCTGGGGATAGAACCAGGGGCCTTGCATATGCAGGGCAAGTGCTCCACCACTGAGCCACCCCCCACTACACAGTATTCAGAAAACAGCGACTGATCCCCCTTTCTCTCTCTCTCCTACATGATTCCATTTATATGATGTTATAGAAATACTAAATGTTTATGGAAGATAATCAGAACAGTAAGTTCAACACTGCACTAGAAATTCTAGCAATGCTACAATCAGTGAAGAATAAAAAGTGTAGAGACTAGAAAGAATAAAAATTGTCTTTATCTATAGTTGAAATGATCAATTATTTCCCCTTTCTCTCTCTCTCCTACATGATTCCATTTATATGATGTTATAGAAATACTAAATGTTTATGGAAGATAATCAGAACAGTAAGTTCAACACTGCACTAGAAATTCTAGCAATGCTACAATCAGTGAAGAATAAAAAGTGTAGAGACTAGAAAGAATAAAAATTGTCTTTATCTATAGTTGAAATGATCAATTATTTAGACAGCACTATAGAATCTACCAAAAGGATTTACTAGAACTAAGTGAGTTTAGCACTTGCAGAAACAAAGTCAACATGGAAAAATCAGTTGTATCTCTATATACTGGCAATGACCAATTAAATATGAGACTTAAAATACCAATGACAAGAGATCTATCCCAAAGGAAAAAGAGTATTTTCCTGTGTATTATCACTGTTTTAAAACTTAAAAACATTACCCCCTACATCCTCCAAAATATAGCATCAAAATAAATTTTATAGCCAGACATAGTAGTGCATATCTTTAATCCCAGAACTCAGAGACTGAGGCAAGAGGATCGCTGTGAGTTGGAAGGCAGCCTGGGCAAGATAGTGAGTTCAAGGCCAGCCTGAACTGCATAGCATGACCCTGTCTCAAAAAAAACCCCAATTAATTAATTAATTAATTTTATAAGCATTTGAATAGAATGAGAGGTATTTCAAGGAACTGATATATATATTTATCAAGGAATTAATATGTATGCATATACATATACACACATACATAAACATATGTGTGTGTGTGTGTGTGTGTGTGTCTTTGTGTATATATATAATTCCCTCCCCCCTTCCCAGATAGGGTCTTACTATGCTGCCTAGGCTAGTCTCAAACCAAGTAAGCCTTTCACCTCAGCCTACCAAGTAGCTGGCACTGAAGATGTATGCCCATGCCCAGCTATAGCCTATACATACGTACGTACGTACATACATACATACGTACACGTGCACACACACACACACACACACACACACACACACAGATTTTTCCTATTAACATTTTTTTCCCTTCTTTTGAGACAGGGTCTCTCTATGTAGTTCAAGCTGGCCTTGAATTCACTATGTAGCACAGGCCGGCTTTGAACTCACAGTGATCCTCCTGCCTCAGCCTCCCAAATATTGAAATTACAGGCATGAGCCACCATATTCAGCTCTCAGCTTATATACTGCTATATCTTCAACAGAGTAAAATTATGTGGTAAATTTAAATAAACTATTAAAGGTTCTGTCCACTATTTGCCCATTTCAAGCCATCCAGCTACCTAACAGTTCTTTACTTTTCTGTAGCAAACTGCTGCACAGAACTGTCTTAACTAATCAGCTACTACCTCAACACAATTCCTAAGTCATTATACCTTGCTAAGACAGAATTCAGGGTTTCTTTTCATATGCTAAAGATAAACAGCTACAACCACTACCAAGAGAAAAGCTGTGAGCTATACAACAGACCTTTCTCCTTTAACTTTAGGTGTCGGGTACTTGTCTCAGCAAGGAGAAAAGTAATTAAGACAACTGATATGCAAAAATAAATAAAAGCAAGACAACTGATAAGCCACGGTTCACAGTGGAAGAGTGGTTCTCAAACTATGGGGTACAACAGAGTCACCTCAAGGATTTCTTCAGACACCAGTTGTTGGCTTCCTGCCTCACAGTATTTGTTTACTTTGATCTGAGCAAACTCAGAAAACCTGGAGTTCCAACATATTTCCTATGGTATCGGTGCTGCTAAATCAGGGCTGCTCTTTAAGAATCACTGATGTAAAACATCAGTAGTGGTTCCCAAACTTTTACTACAGGTCAGAATCACCAAGTGTAATATTTTAATTTTTAAATTCCTTCCATCCCTGAAGGTGCACATCACTCTCCCACCAAGACGTAATTGTCTCCCTTATCTTTTTTTTTTTTTTTTTTTTTTTTTTTTTTTTTTTTTTTTTTTTTTTTTTTTCTTCTGGTACCGGGGATTGAACTCAAGTACTTGTGCTTGAGAGGCAGGTGGCGGAACCAGTGAGCTAAATCTCTAGCCCTGTCTCCCATATCTTGAAACAGACATAGCGTGTTATTAACACACATTGTGCTTCATATTTAAACTATGTATTTGTTATTTTTCCTATATAATGAATAACACTTTCATTAAATAATTACATTGATTCTGAAAAGTCATTTATTCAGAAAACAAAAAATGTAATAAAAAAATCTCCTTCAACTTAAACTTCTTTTCACATCAAAAAATTATTAAATAGGTCTGGGGTGTAGCTCAATCATAGCTTGCCTATCATGCATGAGGCCCTGGGCTTGATTCCTAGCACTTAAAAAAATTGAATTAAATGAAGCAATGATACCAAGCAAATTATGTAGAACTTCAACATAAAACGACCATTCCATAAAAAATGATTAGTATTCTAAGCCTCTGTAAGCATAAAATAACAAAGCTCTTTTATGAAATTGGTTACAATAATACCAGATCAAGCAACTAGTTACAAGAGTTAAAAACTACAGCCAGAATTGCACAACATAGAAGCCTACCAGGAAAATGTCAAAAACTGTTACTCTCCAAAGAAACAAAGGAAAGAGAAAACGTACCAC